CGTCGCCTCGGTCACGACGTCGTGCCCTGGATGATGTGAAATAGCGAGAGTTCACGACCTCGTTTCTACCTCGAAGACGTCTATCATATTGCTAACTGCACATAACGGTTAACAGGATTATTTATGTTGATAGTTCAATGTTCTTCTATCTTTTTGAATCCCGTGAATTTTTTATCAATACAATATTATGTTTTTGCAAAATGAAAATGTCTAAGGTTTAGAAATATAAAACTCTATAATTAGATACGCAAAGAATAAGATAAAATAGTAATGATACTATATTTTAGAGAAAGATACATTAAAGTAATCAATTATTTTACAACTAGAATTTAAAAGTCCAGGAAAATAATAATAAATTTAATGAAATCTTTTTTAAATATTGTGTTTTACATATAACTTATAAGCAGTTAGGTACATATATTTTAAGCAGTTAAAAGAGGAGAAATTTAATAAATTGAGCTTTCAAAAAGTAAATAGATAACAATAAAGCACCTATTTTAGGTAGTTCTTGCACGCGTTCCAGGATCGGAGAGAGAACTACTGAAGAAACTGTATAGTAAATCTACTTGTAAAGTACAGAATGTTAGAATAGTTTGACATACGAACGACTGGATGCGGCGGCGACTAGACAATTGCTTTATCGGAAGTTCCGTGAGAAAAGCGGCGGGAATTTTGTTACAGCAACACAATCGGAAATTGCTTTGATTTATCAACTCGTTTTCGTTGCACATCTATCAAGACAATCTATTTTGATAAAAACTAAAATAGACACTACAAAAATGGTTAAATAGTTAAACAATACCATTTGATAAATTCTCTCATCATGCATTTATATTTAACGTACATATTAAATATTTTCATTCAAATCAAATAATTTTCAATTTCGAAAACTATTTATTTAAAATAAAAGAGGTACTAAAGAAAAATATTAAAATAATATGATGAGAATAAATGGAATAGAATATGAATAAACATTAGTTCTAGAAAAAATGTCTTTTTTTAATTAAATAATATTTAAAAATTGGTAAAAAATAGTAATTGTATTTAAAATTTATATATAATTAGGATATTGATTTTATGTGTTCACGAGAAAAAAAAATATAAATTTAATAGTATTATTCACTAATGCACCTATCTAGATTCGAGAGAATTGAAATGACTGGTCTATATCTAAACTAATACCGTTTATTGTGAATTTATAAAGACGGATATGCTTAATTCTCTTAACATTGGAATTTTCTTCTCATAAAAAAATATGGGAACTACCTCCATTCAAAATTATTTGATTTTTAACAAAGAATATAAAATTTGTACACAGAAAAAAAGGTTTTCTCTGCCGCAGCTGATCTTAGTTCGTTATAATATATTTACTGCCGTAACTATAAATTTATAAATTACAGCGAAATGGTTTGCTGCTATAATATAGATATTACAGTTAAGACATTAGCTATAATACCTATATTTTAGCTGTACATATTTTACATCTGCCATTTAGTTACCACATGCAGTTTTTAGTTACGACTACATTTTTTTTCCGTGTAAATCTTTCATATATTCACAAATTATAAAGTCATAGAATTTAATAAATGCGGGAGTATTATTTATTTAAACTAATAAATGCAATAATAATTTACAAAGAAGCTTCATTTAGGTAATATATTATTTATCAAATAAAATATTGAACAATTAAATTGTAATGTTTGCAATCTTTGCAATGATATTAACAATTCTTACAATACTTCTTAACAATTTAAATATTAAAAACATCAGAATTTGTTCATGAAATTGAAAGAAGTATAGTATAATTAAATATCTGACTCTAATACCGAATCGAGTTAGCAAGCGATATTTTAGATCTTTTCATGGAACTACATTCGTAGGGAACAAAGGAATAATATAAGGATCAGATAAGGATAAGGAAGGTAGAGCCATTTTATTATCACTATTATACGCGGCGAATTAGATTATTACAGAGGGCTTACAGGGGATTGCCCTTGTCTCAATTATCACTAACTGCATGTTTCCATATCTCCAAGGTAGTCATATCCTTTTACGCTCAATTAGTTTGCGTCCTTTACGTCTACATGCCGCCCCATTAGCTTTGAATTAATACATCGAGTTCAAGTATTCATCAAAAACAGAAGTTAAAACCGGACCGTCTCACGAAACTTTGGAATCAGGTCAAACTGACTTCATCCATATTCTTCGCTCGTTCCCGCCGTCCCAAGAGAATTACGAGACATCGCGGAATTTCGCAATGATCTCACGGCGCCGTGCGACAATACGAATCGGAGTCACTTATGTGTCTCGAGAACAACCCCACATGGGACGCATTATATGGGATATATGATATAGAAGATCAAATATACACATATTGAGTGAGGAGATGAAGTAAAAACACATTAGTTTAAGTGATAAACTTACAGATGATACAACCAAAATCAAATTTCAAGTAATAGAAATTAATAAAACCGTAATTATAATATGAAATCAATAAAACTGTAATCAATAATAACTATAAAAATGGCAAAAAATTATAAAAATGACAGACATAAATGAATCGTGGAATTTTTTCATCATTTCCAAGTCAATCAAAATTAATTACGCGCATTCTAAAATTCAAATTGCCGAAAGATGCAATAGGATGAAGCGAAACTAAAAAAAAAAGGAAGAAGTATTTTGCATGAAAATTGTTCGCCGCAGTTTCAATGCGTCGCCGCGAAAGTAAATTCTATCATTTAATCGTGAAATTTTTATATCGAACGCTTCAACTACATCACCGCTCGCGCAGTAATTTTAGAGTCGCGAAAAAGCTTGCGATGTCACTGCGAGACACGAACGTCGTACGAGGTTCTAGGTGCTATTGTCGTAAAGCTACGTTCGTAGATACAATGTTTGCTCCATGAATCTAACGTTAAATCTTCTGTCTTCCCTCACTCTCTCCTCCTCTCTCTCTCTCCTCTCTCTCTCTTCGACTATCTCTCTATGTCTGATGCTTTGATAACACTGGTGCACCAACTATGCACGTGAAACATGCGCGAGACGATCGCGCGAGTCTTGATTACTAGGCACGAAACAGTTACGTCAGTTAACGACATCCTCGCGCCTAAGTGCAAAGGCACATATTACCGAAGTTTCTCTTCCCCGAATGGCGGCAGGAGGTGACGACGACAGACGTAAACCTACTGTCGACGTTCCAGTTAGACCCTTCTGCGAAAACAGTTCAATTTAACTTGGCCACCATTGCTCCAACCTTGAAGCACGATCGTAAACCATTCTATAACTCGCCAAAAATTCGCTAGCAATTCTATGGAAATTACGAATGGACCTTTGTATGTTAATTAATAAAAGATAAAGGTGCAAGATTCAATCACCGATTCATTATAGAATACAAATTTCTCTAAAAAATGTTGCGGTGCAACAGTACCTAAATTACAAACTGCTTCCCTCAAATCAATCTTCGATGATGAATGAAGATGAATGATTGAATTTCCTTTCTTTTAAAACAAAAGGTAAAATTCTAATTCGAGGTTTATATATAATGACTAATTACCATAAATTTCAAATCTATTTGAAATATGAAGCGCCCTTATTAGAATTCAAATCAACTGTAGCTTCGTTATCCAAATTGGATCATGATGATTGTACGTGCTTCATATCCTATTCATGTATTTCCATAAATAAGAAGGATAAAGTACGTATAGATATGCCAAGTACATTACGTTGTAATTGACGCCTCGCAAAATCGCGTAGCGCACTTTCTGCGCTTATACAAGATACATCTCGGACAAGAAAAAGTACCCAAATGAAAAATGACAGGAAGCTCGAATGAACCAAAGAATAAAAAGAAGAGAATAATGTAGAACTAGATCGGCAAAATTAGAGAAAAGCAGTACAGGAAAAGAGCAATTTTGCTGAAGTACCTAAAAATTTAGCTGAATATAGATCTGAAAATAATTTTGTAGAAATTTCAAGCATAATAAACAATGCTGCAAAAAGTTTTTTTTATATTCTAGCAATCAGTTTAAACGTTCTTTATAATAATTTTAATGGTTCAACAAAAATTTTCAGATCTGTTCCTAACTAAATTTTTAGATACTTCAGCAAAATTGTTCTTTCCGTGTAAAAAAAATGTTCTGTGATGCAGGTCTCGACGTACGTAGTCGCAAAAGGAAGTTAAGGTGGTTGCGCAATAAAGAGTCACTCAATTCCGACTCTCGTGAGAGCCAACGACAAAGCTAATTGCACACCTTCGAGATCTCGTAATATAACGGATTAAGAGAGCGCACGAGTTCGAAATTAGCTCACCAGTCACGAGAGCGCTTTACCTTCACGTCGCTCAATAGATGAATGGCGAGCGAGAAAGAAAAAGAGAAAAAAAGACAGAAAGAGAAAAAGAAGACATGGAGAAAAAATCTCTAATCGCTTCGTCAAACGTATATAATCTCTTTAGCAAAATCAGCGCGAGAACAAGATAAAATTATTCAGTTAACTTTTTCAGGCAGAAACGAAGAGGGATCTACTGCGAAATGAATATAATCGTGTTCCACTTTCAGAAAAAAATAGATTTTTTAATATTATATACATTTTTTTAAATGTCATCTTTCGAATCTTTAAAATACCGTTAATATAGTTCGTTATTAAATAAATGGCGAGCAAAATTAAGAGAAAAAAATAAGAGTTTAAAGCTTTATAATTTTTCCTGTTTTAAATATATATTTAAAATTAAATAATCTATAATACTTTCAGAATTCCAATTTTTCCTCTTTATGCCTTTATATAAATATATATATATATATATATAAATTAATATTTCAATACTAAATTGTTAATGAAAGATAACATATTTAATAAAAAAAAAATTAAATTAATGATATAAAAAAATTATGGCTATATATTATATTTCAACATGAAGTATGCTTTGTAGGCTGAAGAATATCATTTAAGACCGACAATGCAAATTAATTTTAATTGTATTCTCCCTTGACTATTAAAAATGAATGAAGACTAAGCGGTAGAAATTTTTCTCTTTATAGTCTAAGACGCCCTTCGGATTCGTCATTTCGATAACTGATTTCAATGCTTAGTAAAGCTTCGAATAATTAAGATAATACAACGCATAGTATCGATGGCTGTGTGTGAGAAGCTCTGCAGATTTTTCACAAATTCGCTCGATTCAATGTAAAAAACTAACTTTTTTATGGTGATAATTAATCATGAAATTCATACACTGTTAAATCTATAGTGTCAAATTTAACTTAACGTGAGTCGCCATAGGTCATATATGCTCAATCATGTTATTTTATACTAAAACAATAGTTATGTTTAACACTATACAGTGTCAATTTGATACTATAGTGTCAAATTTAGCTATCATTTTGATAAAAATAATGATATATTTAGTAGAAGCAGTAGCGACTCACGTTAGGTTAAATATTTGACGATAGATTTAACAGTGTACAACTGCGTCATGCAATGAAATAACCAAACGAATTAAAAGATTAACAATTTGCTAAGTTCCTCAAAAAGGTTCTGAATATATCACGTAATTTTTATTTTAAACGAAAAATTTCATTATCATTTCCAAAATAATATTTTACATTCTAATTTTTTTTACAAGTATAAATCGCCACTTAATTCTTTTAATGGCCACTGTTTTAAAATTAGCTCTTTCTTCAGTAGCAGATATTTCGAAAATTTGATACGTAAAATTTAGTTAATTTTTTTCAAATATGTTAATATATTTTATTGCCAAATGTATATTTATAAATTAAAAAATTTTGCATATTCGAATCAAAGATATCGCAGAAATAGAGATATACATATAACGATAACATGCAGAAATTTAAATTTATGTTTATTGCAGTTGGCGTTCAACGTAATTGCGGATGTGTCACAATATTTATGTCAATTTATAATAGAAAATCCGATGTTATACAAAATCGGATTAGTGGTAGGACCCTCTCATGCATACAGGTTGTTCGAGAAGCGTTACATATAATTGCTTGTCGATTTTTACGTTGACTCGTGTAATCGGATAGCGTAAATAAGCTGATGATTTTTACAATGCTTTTATTGCAAAGCACGCGAAATAACGTACATTCCGATTTTACAAATAATTTCCCTGATCACTCTCGATATTAACATGCGGACAGAGCAAATCATTCTCATGGGAGATAAATGGTCGCGACGGGAAAGCAGTTTCCGTCAATACAACCAATATTGACCCCAGGGTTTCTGATGTCCTGCTTCCTTGTTTATAATTGAGAAAAAATATAGGCTTATTATATTAACATGATTATTTTCTCTAAAATCGCATGTCCAAAAATTTAAAAACTTTCGCTCGTTATCATTACTTTCTTAAAATCAATCAATAATTCAAAAATCAACAAATGTTACAAATATAATCTGCATAACATTTTCTTGTCTAGCTTTCATATTAATAAAAAATATTTATTTTCTTTATCTCTCATGTAAGACAGAACAATGCAGATTTTTCGAAAAATCTCAATAAATTCGGTGTTTCTGTTGCTAAATATAGATAGCGTATGAAAATATAAATAAAAGGAAATGGAGTGCGTGTTTTGTACGCTGACACCAAATAAAACGTCCGACTTCTGCGATTCGACTGGATAAAAGCTCACCGAACAAGATCTCTATCCGCAAAACGAATCTTGCTCAGCAGGTTACTCGGAACTCTACAGAAACTCGATGAAGGAAAAAAAAGGAAAGGCAAGTACAGGACGTTTGAAGAGATGGAGCTTCTTCGAGGGCCTCTCTATCTTGGGAATTTATGCGAGCCTTGGCACCGATTCCGAAGAGCAGCGAGAGTCGGCCAGAGATTGCGCTATCGACGTAGAACGAACTTCAACACCCGAATGAACCACTTCTCAACAACCCTCAGCTCTCTTTCATATATACGAATAGGTATGTAATGAAGGAATTTGCAAACTGTTAAGACGCCATATTACAAAAATGAGGAAAATTATAAATCAACTGAGAACAGTTTATTGCTTTCTTTGCAAATATTGTAGACCAGGAGTGAATTTTAAGTGCTATCGGTATTCGAATAATTGTTTAATAATTAATTACGGTCAAAGTTAAATAGAATAATATATTTTTATGTATTTCTAAATTAATTAATTTCAGATATATGACTGCGCGCCGATTACTTTCAGATTTGCAACACAATTAAACTGAAATAATAATAATCCTTCTAAATTAAATTCATAAAGTATCTTTACGAACAGAAGATAGTTTTTTTTATCTTTTATATTAACTTTTGACCAAAGTTATAGTTCGCGAATCAGTTCATTACGCACATGTGAAAAATCACGGTGTTGCAACATCATGAAATTCTTGGCACGGGAAATCGGCAAATACATGAACACATGTGCTGCTCGCTCGATTTACGAGCTATCGCGAATAAATCATATCCGTACATATATACATACTGTTTGGCTTATCGTTATCGCCGATCGACGAGAATATCGGTCCGTATACGATGCAGAAGTTCACGTAAACTGCTGCCGCATCGAACTTTTGAAGCACGTTCGATATTAAATTGCAACGCGATGTCGACGAATAAGTCCATAACTGTCTGCTTGTTCGCGCGACAGCTAAATATCTCAGAGCTTCTAAAATTCAGTTGAAGAAGTTGAAAAAAAGTTGAGAGAAGTAGTTCATTATTATTTGCACTCTCGATATACAAATATATACACCTATAGATATATAAGGTATGTACAGAAGGTTCGTGAACTGATGATACAATCGAGAAGGAAGTGATTCTACATATATGAAAAAAAAGTAAAAAATGTAGAATATGATTTTTTTATATATGACGTTTTGTTTCCGAAAAAATCGATTTTAAAGCCATATTAGCCAGATACGTGTGCACTTTACCTAATGTGATCAGATATTTTCATTGCAAATCTAAAACGGATAACTTTATCAAGCGTGAAAGGGAGATATATGGATGATGTAAAGATAAATACAATGATAGTAATTTATTTTTAAAAAACAATACAATTATTTATATTTCATTCAAAATTATCTCCTTTAAAGGATTGTGACTCTTTAGAAATGTCGGTACGAAATTCCTGGCAACTGAAATTAATTTTTGTTCTTAATATTGTTTTTAAAATACAAACTCAAAGTTGAGTTTTCCCCGTTAGTCACACTTTATTTATTGCAAAAAAACTCATTCAACTGTTGCATTATCTTATTCTTGAAAGCAATAATACATATTCATATGTGATTTTACAATTTAGTGTTTATAAAATATTTTTCAGTGGAATATTTTTACTATTTTGCTAAAATCAAGACATTTAGTCATGCTTGACTGGATAGCAAGACAAACGTTGAAAGCAGGATGTCCTGTCAAAATCAGACCGTCTGATCACATTAACTATGCCTCGACTTAATGAATCTCGTTGTAGACTGCTTCCCCCCCCCCCCCCCCCCCCTCTCTCTCTCTCTCTCTTCATTTTTATGTTTATTATTGTACTGAGCAATCAAGCATATACAACAAAAAGAGAATATTCGCATGATAAATTTTATTACTTTATAAATTACTTAATAAATCATTTATTATATTGTTTACAAATCGTTGAAAATATTGCACGTTCTATCGAATATACAATTCTGCTCTTCGAAGTAAACTACGTGAACGCTTTCTAACGTGTTTTATTGCTTTAATTTATTAATTAAATTCGTACCCGGTGAATATTTAAAGTCGATTTTCTCTAAAATAAAATCTCACATAAAAAAATGTTCTACGTTTTTGATTTATTTTTTCACGATGAATCACCCCCATCCCGGTTGTACCATCAGTTCATAAAAATCTTGTATATAAATAAATAAAGGTAATTAATTCGGTCGACACGTTGATATTTAATTACTTAGATCCAATAATTATTAATTAAAAGATCTACCTTCTTATTTTAAACAGAAGTCGAAAGTACAATAATACTTCGACAATAAAATGTTTTTGCATATTCGTTAAAGGTTTAATCTAATGCCTCTAATATTGTCAATATCTATTGCAGATAGATACCATGTCTGCGGTTCGTTAAATATACGCTTTTAAGATACATTGTATGTGTTCAGGAAGATATATATATATTTATATACGCTTGCGTGACGATAATGAGATAGCGACGAGCGATTGTATGCATGATAACAAGATCCTCAAACTGACGACATAAAGGAGACGCGAAGAAGATCGATATATCGTTCGACTTACAATAGCTATCAACTATCTACTTATCTAGTTATCTCCAGGTAAACTCGGTCGCACGATGAAAATCCATCTTCGTGTATATAACAACAACCGTTTTTCATTAGTCCTAACCGCGAACAATAATTCTCAATTTATTAAGTTTTAAATTTACATCTAGCAGCTGCTCATCGATTAAAACTTATACTTGATTGTTATCTATCCCATTAATTTCCTGTTATCTCACGATGCATTCATTTTTCTCTGTTATTGAAGTCCTGAGAGAATCATTACTCTAGAATCTAATAAAACGTGAAAAAAACTACTTCCTCTTTATGCTTCTTCTGTTATTATGATATATATAGACCTCATTTGACATTTTTATTTCTTCCCTTGATGATAAATGGACTTAGTCAATAATTATATACAGTTGCTGTATACAGTTATTATATACATTAATAGTT